ACACACACACACACACACACACACACACACACACACACACACACACACACACACACACACAAGCAGGCACGCATGCATGCAAGCGTGCACGCACACACGCTCACGCAGGCGTGCATGCATGCACACATGCACACATTTACACCCATGTATTCGCACTCACACACTTTTACACACACAGACACAAACACACATTTACACACACTGATACAAACACACACAAACAGACACACACACTTACAAACACACACGCACACACTTACACACACAAACTCACACAGACACACACACTTACACATGCACACACTCAAACACACAGATACACACTCATAATAAAAAAATAATGTTAGATGTCAATGCAGAATAATCATACTAATTGCTAGTACGACGTATGACGGTTGTGTAGTCAGACTTCTGAATGAAGTAAGCTATGTCCCTCCATCTATAACTCTCATCCATTTTGTCTGTCTGTCTGTTCACCCATCCTTTTGTCTATCCTTCCATTCAAATAGACATATAAAAGCAGTTCTAACAGGACCATGCTTCTCCATTACGAGTTGAGAATATTTATATATATTTTAGATATCGTTTACACTTATATGATGGTTTCATATTGAGACTGCTAAATGAGATAAGTTGTGTTTAATATAACTGAAGACAAAAACTGTGCTAATCTCGAGTATGTTATTGGTTTAAAGATCTTCTGTCGAGTGTGTCTGTTTTTACTTTATATTGTCTTTTAAAATTTATCATATTATATGATTGTAATTTTCTTTACCTATTTAAGATAAGTTTAGTATAACTCTGTGGGTGGTTGGTGGGTGCTCTGGTGTGGTTTGCTTCTTCTTTCCTATCAAACATCCATCGTCCCTATCTCCCCCTCTTTTTTTTCATGTTTGTTACTCTCTTGTAGCTCCTCTAATCTTCTGGTGCTCATATGACCTTATGCTGTTGCGAGCGCGGTAAAGCCTCTACTAAAACAAACATATTTTTAATATGGTTCACACTTGTATGATGATTTCATATTCAGGCTGCTGAATGAGATACCCTGTGTTTAATATAAATACGGAGAAAAACTGTTCTATTCACTAATATAATGTTATTGGTTTAAAGATCTTCTCCGCACGCTCAAATGACCTTATGCAGTTGCGAGCGCCGTTAAGCACTTATCACAAAAGAAAGAAAAAAGATCTTCTGTCCAGTATGTCTGTTCTGACTTTTTCTTTTTTTTAACTATCATATTATATGATTGTAATTATGCATGCATGCATTGACACATTTACACACACACACACACACACACACACACACTCACACACAAGCAGGCACGCATGCATGCAAGCGCGCACACACACACGATCACATTATCTATGCCTATTACTAAAAGTTTAAAATAACTGTTTCTGTCACTAATACATATGACCGTTGTATATCCAGGCTGCTGAATGAGACCAAGGGCTCACTTCTGGATGATGCCCAGCTGGTCAACACACTGCAGCTGTCCAAGACCACCTCCCAGGAGGTCACGGAGTCGGTCACCATCTCTGAACAGACAGAGGTCAAGATTGACGCGGCTCGTGAGGTAATGGGATTGTGAGACGTGATGGTGTTGATCCTTGGCCTAACTCTTTATCTCCGAGGGGGGGG